GGGGTCGAACAGGAAAATTGAATCTGTCTTGATTTTTATGGGTCTGTTGTTGTTGTTGTTGTTGATGATGTTATTGTTGTTGTTGTTGTTGTTGTAGTTGTTGTAGTTGTTGTTGTTGTTGTTGTTGTTGTTGTTGTTGTTGTTGTTGTTGTTGTTGTTGTTGTTGTTGTTGTTTGTAGTGGTGGTGCTGCTGCTTTGTTTTTTTGTGTGCTTTTTTGTTGTTGTTTTTTGTTTGTTTGACATTTTCTAATCATCAATTTCCCCTTTCTTTATCAGTTTGATGCTCTTTAAAATGTTTTCGTGGTCTATAGTTTTTAATGCTTTCTTCTTGTTCTTCATGCTATCCTAACAGATCTATCAGACCGGCAAACCCTTTTCCACTTTTTCCCCTTTTATTGATAAAAGATCCCTTTCACTTTCATGTTGTCATGACTACGTTTATGACGTTTTTGCTGGTTTTTTGTTATTTTTATTCAATTTTTGTCCCCATCTCTTCTCTTTGGATGGTGTCTTGTATCGTGTTCGTTAACCCTTTTACTGCCTGACCCGAGTCTGTCTCTGGACCTCTGCTTGGACTGCGAAGCAAACTTGGGGGCAGAAATACTTCCCTGCGTTACACAAATCTCGATGTTTTCATTTCACGGTTCTTAACGTTTGTTTGTTTGTGTGCGTGCGTGCGTGCGTGCGCGCGCGCGCGCGCGTGTGTGTGTGTGTGTGTGTGTGTGTGTGTGTGTGTGTGTGTGTGTGTGTGCGCGCGTGTGAGTGTGTGTGAGTGTGTGTGAGTGTATGTGTGTTTGGTTTTTTTTAACTTTTAAAGGGGGGGGGTTGTTATTTGTTTGGGGGGATTTTTCTTTTGTTAAATAGGTAGGTCCTGTTGTTGTGGACCATTTTCAATGCTATTCATAACTATTTACCTTCTACATGGAAACCTATTTTTATATAGATACCTTATACCACACTACCTGTAATTTGTAATACCCCCTTCATCTTTCCTCCTGTTCTTCATTTAATATTCTTTTCAATTGTATAGGCGTTTTGTTTTTCCAACAGTCTTGAGTCGAACACCTCCCAGCAGAAGAAAATTAATTTTTTTTTTTTTATGTTGTACATAAATTTGTACATGTATATATGTCCATGTGTGTTTGTGTGTGTGTGTGTGAATATGTGCAGGTGTGTATGTATATATATATATATATATATATATATATATATATATATATATATATATATATATATATATATATATATATATATGTGTGTGTGTGTGTGTATGTGTGTGTGTGTGTGTGTGTGTGTTTGTTTGTGTGTGTGTGTGTGTATGTGAGTGTGTTAGTTTAGTTTTGGTAAGAATTTAATGGAACTAGCCATACAATAATGTCATAGACAAGTGCCGAAGATTAGAGGTGTTACAAGAGAGTAACAAGCACAAAAAGAAGGGAGATCGGGACGATAGATGTTTGATAGGAAAGGAGGAGCAAACCACACCAGAGCACCTGCCAACCACCCACATGTGTTTGTTAACGATAATTTAAGTTTTGCAAGTTGTAGCATCAAGTGATAGGTGTATTCTGAAAAGGTTGGGATATCCTTTGAGTTGAAGACGTGCGTTTGTGGCGCACTTTTAGCGCGCTTGATATCATGCTTAACTGGACAACTGGGCAGATATTCCTGGTTCACAACTTCAACAGAGCGTTTAGAGCCTGGGTTGTTGCTTTGGGAAGTTTTTGAGGCTTGACACCCATCTGACTTGAGCGGTCCTGTCGGAGATGGGCGTTAAATTCGGAGATCTCGCCTCTTGACTAACCTTACAGTGGTGAAAAGGGCGTTAAACCTAGACAGTGATTTATTTATTTTTTATAGTAGAGGGTTTTACGGCGCTCGCAACTGCATAAGGTCATATGAGCGCCAAGGGGTGGATGTCAACAGAGAAATCTTTACAGGGAATCAGACTTAGACTGCTCACCTCTCTAGCTTCAACAGCACAAGGTCTGCTTCGACTATCAAGGCACCCCAAAATAGCAGGTCACAAGGGAGTGACAAACATACAAAAGAAGTAGAGGAAAATGACAATAGTACGGATCAGGAAAGAAAAAGCAGCAGTTCACAGTTGTAGATCAGGCACAGTTATGAGCGTGACTTGAATCAGCCCATTTACAATTCTGCTATGCTTGAACGAGATATGTCCCCCCTTTGGGAACGGCCTAAAGACACTCACAGTCAGTGGCACTGCCCCACGGGGTAGACAATGATCAATGATAATTTATTTTCCCTTGACGGACTGCGGGTTTGAAGGAAAACAGCTCAAAGAACTATGATGGTATATTGGAGAGAAAATGTAGGTCAATTTGTTGTTAAATATCTTGCGTAAACT